GATAAGAATAACTATAGTGTTACTATAGGTAGATAAGATAAGAATAAAATAAGAATAACTATAGAGTTACTATAGGCGGATACAGATCTGTTTAACATTTTTGGTTGGTGTGCCTCGGGATTTTTTCAATGAAAAACTGTACCTTGGCTCAAAAAAAAAAAAGGTTGAAAAACACTGCTCTAATGTGTGACCAGAGACTGACCGCCCCTGTGCCCCCCCTGCAGCAGTCCAGAACGAGCGGCAGCCCCGCAGCACCGCCCAGGTCCGGCTGGACTCCATAGACGTGGACCCGGAGAAGGAGCACCTGGCCACCACCCGGGAGCCCCCCTCCTCCTCCTCCTCCTCCTCCTCTTCCTCCTCTTCCTCCTCGGGCGGCTCGGTCATCACCTGGCCCCACATCTCCTCGTCCATGTCCATCAGCTCCTCGGCCGCCCCCCCCCCGCGCTGCCTCAGCCCGCAGAACGGCCACCGCTTCATGGCCAGCCTCATGACGGCCGAGACCTGCGCCAAGCTGGAGCCCGAGGACGGTGAGTCCAGCAGGGTCCAGCAGGGTCCAGCAGGGTCCAGAGTCCAGCAGGGTCCAGAGTCCAGCAGGGTCCAGGGGCCAGAGTCCAGCAGGGTCCAGGGGTTAGGATCCAGCAGGTTCCAGCAGGGTCCAGCAGGGTTTAGAGTCCAGGGTCCAGCAGGGTCCAGGGTCCAGCAGAGTCCAGAGTCCAGCAGGGTCCAGCAGGGTCCAGGGGCCAGGGTCCAGCAGGGTCCAGCAGGGTCCAACAGGGTCCAGGGTCCAGCAGGGTCCAGAGTCCAGGGTCCTGCAGAGTCCTGCAGGGTCCAGAGTCCAGCGGGGCAGGGTCCAGGGTCCAGGGTCCAGGGCTCAGGGTTCAGGGTTCAGGGTTCAGGGTCAAGGGTCCAAGGTCCAGGGTCCAGGGTCCAGGGTCCAGCAGGGTCCAGGGTCCGTTTTGGACATTTTAGGCCACGTTTTAGTGTCAGTGAACAGTTTTTGAGCCTATTCTGAAAGAAAAAAGGCATCAAATGATTTTAACTGAGCTGATCGGGGCTTTCCAGTTCATTGACTTGTCAAAAGGTGATAAAATGAAAGAATTCAGGAGGAAAAACATCTGAAAAAATTGGGGATAAATATTGGTCATCAAGTTCTAAAATGGCCCAATCAAACTCAGACCCAAACATGGACTAAAAGAATCCTCCTGACCCTCAAAGTGGGGCCTTTTCTTTGACAGAATCTTGTTAATCTGACCCCTTTTTTCTCGTTTCAGTGGATGAAAACATCGACGTGACCAGCAACGAGCCGGAGCGGGCGTCCTCGGAGTACCACATGGCCCTGTACCCGTCCAGCTCCGAGAACGTGTACGAGACCTCGGCCCGCCTGCTCTTCATGTCGGTCAAGTGGGCCAAAAACCTGCCGGTGTTCTCCAACCTGCCCTTCCGAGACCAGGTGAGACCCCCAACTGAAGAGAAAAGAGGGGCCGGTTTAGCTTTAACTGCCAAGTTTGGGAGTTTTCTGTTCATATTCACCCCACAGGATGTGATAAACTGCAAGATTTAAAGTGAGAGAGGCACTAATCTGATTAATCGGAGTAGTTAATTGTTCTGTTTTAGATTAAATTGAATAATTTATGTAATTCTGGTGCAGATTTATTGTCCCAAACATACTTTATACCCTCCTTTTCCATTAAAAACGCAGCTCTGTCTAATCATTTATGTTTATTTTTCACTGTTTTCTTAACATATGTTTAATAATCAAAACTTCTTAACTATTTTTTTAATATTCTTTTGAATTACATAGTTTAATTCCAAGGAAGTAACTTTATTTTTATTGAAAAATAGAAAATAAAAACAGATGTATTCTGTAAACTTTTTTTTCATTTTCTGATTTTTTAATAATTCCATGATAATTATACAATATTAGGCCTTAAAGTGGAAGATGAGCATTTGTTTGTTGAATTATCTCATTAATTGTTTACACTATTAAGTGTAAGATTTTAGTAAAATTTTCTTTCTGAGCAAATGGATGACACACTACCTTTCAATTAAGAGCTTTAAAGTCAGAAACAGTTTAGATAAAATGTCTTATTAAGGTTAAAACATGCAAAGAAATAAATGTTTCATCCTTTTTACAAAATGTTTCATATGCATAGAAAAATAACACAGCTTCAAACCATCATAGAAACTGAATTTTGGGCAGGAATGAGCTTTTCTGGTTAATGGAGGCTAAAAGCTAGACTAAGCGTCTGATTGGCTGGCCTCTCCGCCAGGTGATCCTTCTGGAGGAGGCGTGGAGCGAGCTCTTCCTGCTGTGCGCCATCCAGTGGTCACTGCCGCTGGACAGCTGCCCGCTGCTGTCCCTGCCGGACCTCTGCCCCGGCATGCAGGGCAAGACCAGCTACACCGGCCTGGACCTGCGCCTCCTGCAGGAGGTCTTCAGCCGCTTCAAGGCCCTCGCCGTGGACCCCACCGAGTTCGCCTGCCTCAAGGCCATCGTGCTCTTCAAGCCAGGTGGGGGGGGCACAGCCACAGGGTTTGGATTTAGATCAGAAAGCTTAATTTATCCCACATATTATAGCCAAAAATGTGTAACTAGCTCTGTAACATTCAAGTTATGTGACATTTTTGTACAGATTTTCTTGAAAAAAATGTAAAAATTGCATGCAAAGTTGCAAATAATATACTTGCATGGTATATACTGCATAATTTGATTTTTTGGTCAATATTAAATCAACATTTTCTATTAGAAATGACTGAAAAATGCAAAGAAAAAACCCATTAAGCACCCCACTCATTTCGGGCAGCTGCTGTGAACAGTTGTACTTTTGGGGATGGGCTCCAGGTTATTTGTCTGGTCTGGGATTTGTGTGTGATTTACATTGTGGTCCTCTCTCCGGCGCAGAAACTCGAGGGCTGAAGGATCCGGAGCAGGTGGAGAACCTGCAGGACCAGTCTCAGGTCATGCTGGGCCAACACATCCGCTCACACTACCCCAGCCAGCCGGCCAGGTAACAGCCTCCCAGCCACAAAAAACGGCATTTCTCACAGTTTTATCCATCGCTTGTAACACAGAGAAATATTTTGTCTTATTCAATTTTAGTGTTCTGTGCAATCTCCTCCTAAAGGACTCTTCATCCATCCATTATCTGTATTATTATTCCTAGTAGCTTTGCAAGAATGTTTAGGATTTTTCATATTTCATTAAATGAATACATCATTTAATTTCGTAACACTTATTTTAAAGGACAAAGAAAAGCTAAAAAAAAAAAAAAAAAAAAAAAAACAGAAAAAAAAAAGAAAAAACATTAAACGGCCACCAGAGGGCGCCAAACACAAGCAAACCGCTTTCCAGTTTCTACCATTAAAAATGCTGTATTCTCTCTTAACTTTGCCATTTTATGATTAATGATAGATCATGTTTATTTCATGAAATAAATTTCAAGAAAAAACACACTTTATATTTGTAATTTTACGTTTTAAACCAGTTAGTTTTCATTCAGCACCATATTTCTGAGCTGAGAGCGGTTTTAAACACTTTTCTTTGTGGTAATTGTTGTCAGGCTTCAGATCTCTGATCTAACTGGGATTTGTTCCTCTCACAGGTTTGGAAAGCTTCTCCTCCTACTGCCCTCTCTGCGGTTTGTGAACTCGGAGCGGATAGAGCTGCTCTTCTTCCACAGGACCATCGGGAACACTCCCATGGAGAAACTGTTGTGCGACATGTTCAAAAACTGAACCCACCGCCCACAGAGGAACTCTGTCTGTAGCCTCCCCGTCCGGATTGGACGGGACTGTGTCCCCGCAAACATATCAGAGAATCTGTGTGTTGTGATTTTTGTCACTTTATTATTATTCGTTTTTGTTTTTGTTTATTTTCGCTTTGGCGTCAGGTCAATCCGGACGAACAAACTGCAGTTCGGCTCCTTTAAATCCCCTCATCAGTCAGTTTGTTTCATATTTAGAGACTGATTTACCTCCGAGCTACTCCTCTAGTCTGTGGCAGTTACCTGTTGTCTCTTTTTTTTTATTTACAAAGGTAGATGGATTGTGTACAGACCACTTGTGTATTCATGGTGTCATTATGAAGTAAAAACCTGCTGCACAAAAATCTTCCCTAAACACATCAAACAGCATCTGCTTCTTTCTTAACGACATGAAAACGACAAACTGGATCTTGGACCATGAACTGAAGCCAGTCCCT